TAACTTCAATCGATCCATGATCTCGCTCTTATGTCCCAAAACATATAATGAATGGTAACTTTAGAGATCTATTAATGGATCAATAATATGCGTATATATTTGTCGTTAAATAACTAAACAATACATATTCATGTCCCTCTTACTATGAGCTTTATTTTGACTTATGAACTATTATTATACCACTTACCATTCTTGAATTATGCCCTGTCTATTCATTACTACCTCCTACACTCACAGCCACATTTGACTAAATCTTGTACAAATGTTGTTTCCTATGATTCATATCATGTGGGCTGAGATTGGTGTTCTGGACTTAACTGGCTGGACTAGGCAGGAAGCAGAACTGATAAACACTCTAGACTGATTGCACGAGTTTTAGGCGTCATCAGTCCGATCGATAATTCATTGCTCTCTAATTGGCGGTATCATTACGCCATATATTAACAGGGCACACAGGCTACAAGCTACAACACTTGCACAACCCATCATCCATTGTCTGAAGTGTTAAACTGTCCGCAATATTTAGACATTATGGATTGATGAAGAATATTTCCCACTCAGGAAGAGTATTTATGAGGTGTTTATTCATGAAGTTTTCATTATCTTTCTAGACAACATCACCATTGTATGTTTCAAAGAGAATTAAGTTATTAAAATATTTTCCCAAGTAACTAAGAAAAAAACGCAAACAATGTCAACACATATGAAAAGAAAACAATCTAATTCTAATTCGACAGGACAGTTAGTTAACCAGTTCTGAAGAGATTTCTCGTTGAAGTACGCACAGATTCTATTACTATCTACAAAGACAACAAAAACCATGTGATTAAACCATTCAACTTGGATAATGCGTTATCTCTATATTTAGTACAGATGATCTGAAATACTGGCTGTCAACTCCAAAAAAATATAGACTTGGACCGATGTTACGTCATACATGTTCATCAAATTTAGGCTTAACTGCCACCAGTAAACCCTTCCTCATCCCGGTTTTTCACAACCAGTTTTTTTAACTGACATAAGTTTATGACAAAAACTACTTTCAAAATATTTAATTCAATTTCCTTTAAGAATGAGTACATCAAATACCATAGAATTGTATATCTTTACCAGTACTTTCTATGACTATTACTCAAGATTAATTTGAAAAGGTTTAAGGTTTCATAGTGAACGCGTTCATGGTTAATCAGTGAATAAATGCTTCGATATCTAAAGTACTGCATTGTATGTTCTAGTGTCCTAGGACATATTTATATCCATATGTAGAGTTCTGAAATATAATGAAATGTGAATCATGAAGTCTAGTACTAGCTACTATCCACAGAAGCGAATCAAAATAACTTGTGGTCAGTTTCAGTTGAAGTTGTGTTTTGAATACTTAAATACATTTGTGTTAAAGCTATGTAATTTAGTACACTTGGTGTAGCTTTAAATACATTTTAAAATGGTGATATATAGGATAACATAGCAGTATCCCTATAGGGTGTTGTGGTTATTCTTGAATTTCAATTCCACATCATAGATTAAATTTGGTAGGACAATTTATGATTATTATGAAGCATTGAACAACTGTTTCGTCTAATGTACCAATGTACATCCACTGCAATCATTAAGTGTGGAACCCTGAACGTTCAAACTTCATTGAATCGCTTGGCCTATCGACTACCGAATTGATGCCTAATGGCTTCCTTGTCTGGACCCAGTTAGTTCATGCGTACTAAATCATAGATCGAATACTTAAACTCCAGACGACTGAGCCGACATCCAACGATCTCATCGTCTAACCTTAACCAATCCATGATATTGTACTACCATCTTTCATTTTCTTCGGCGTGTAACTGCCTCATATCCGATACAGTTTAATCCCACTGGTCACGGCTTCTTACTAGAACTCTAAAAATCACCTCTCGATGCTCGTCATTAGTGAGCACATGATAATTGTATGTATTAGAAGTTGGCCACTTGATATCGTGAGTTGTTTAAGGTTATTAATTAACTCTGCTGAATGTTGAGTCAGTAATCTAATGGTTGAGAGTCCACACGAGACCTAAGATCTTGAATTCCAGTCTTTCATGTAATATCATTGATAAGGACTGTTGAAAAGTTACATATTAAGACGAAATAACCATTCTAGTTTTAAATATTAGTCTAATTCATTATTTCTCAATAAACATTTAACAATCTTCATTAATCTATAATCAATATATCCTATAATTGTAAAATAAACTTGGTTGAAGTTAGACATTAACACCATTGGATGCCGGCTCAGTAGTCTAATGAGTAAATGCGCGCGCGCGAAGCCAGTAGGTCCTGGGTCCGAATCCCGTTGGGGGCGGGTTCGTGAGTGCGCACTGCTGAGGAGTCCCATACTAGGACGAAATGGCCGTCCAGTGCTCCCAGGTTTTCCATGGTGGTCTAGCTTCAATTGACTCATGATTTCAACCTGTGAAATAAACTTTTATTGATTTTCATTGATATAAAACAGTAATAAAATCAATAATTTTAGTGACTAAGAGATATTCTTAATTGATAAAACTTTTTTTTTCTTTATTTGAATATAGTTTTCCTTCATTTAACAAAATGTATATCATTGGTCAATAAATGAATGAATGAATGAGTAAGTAACTAAGTAAGTAAGTGACTATGTACAAGTTTGTTGACTAAATTGAAAAATTCACGCCCATTATTTTTATCATTATAAGTAGTAGTTTTAAAAGAAAAATATTGATGAGTAACACTAGATTAACCTTGAGAATGCCCACCTAGAAACTACGGTCAAATGAGGGTTATAAACCAATGTGTGAGGAATTCGATTTGAGCGGTTTTGTTATAACTTGTGGTCTGTGTGTCCTGTTAGTGTATAACCTAAAGATACCGTCAATTAGAGAACAGTGATTTATCGATCGAAACAATTACTCATAAAACCCATACGAGCAGTCTAGAGTTCTCATCAGTCCTGATTCCCGACTAGCTCAGTCAGTTAAGTTCAGAACACCAATCTCAGCCCACGTAATATGAATCATTTATTTCAAACATACTGAGTTTATATACCAATCAAACAGACCACATCGTACCAATAAAATAGGAAACAACATTTGTACAAGATTTAGCCAAATGTGGCTGTGAGTGTAGGAGGTACTAATGAATAGACAGGGAATAATTCAAGAATGGGAAATCGTAGAATAATAGTTCATAGGTCAAAATAAAGCTCATAGTAAGAGGGACATGGACATGAATAGTTTACTTATTTAACAGCTACACAGTAGAAATATATGTATAGTATTGATCCATAAAGGGCTCCCAAAAGTTACCATTCATTATGCTCATTGGGGCATAACAGGTTCTCATCACGAACTGACGTCAGCTATCATGCCAAGACTCTAGTTAGCCAAATGCATGAAGGAATTTCGCACTTAAAATTCAAAATCTGTTATTTTATACCTGGTTGATTCGTTCGTAAATTATAGTCCCGCTAAAACTTTTATTTCTCTATAGATATATTTTTATATTTTTCCCAAGTTTTCATTTTTTTTATGCTTTAAATGATATTGACGATTGTAGTTGAGATAGTATAATTTGTCTGAAATAATGAAGAATAATCGTAGCCCAATTGGATATTCTTGGTGATGTTGTATCCTCTGAGCTACTAATGGTTCAATTGTCGAGGTTCTATTGTCATTCTAAATGATATTCATACCATCTACATAAAGTAGGAGATGAAGATATTCAATGAAAGCTTCAAAATTAAACCACCTCTAGCTCAGAGAATACAATACCAAACACTAATTGTTTGTCTCGACGTCTTCAGTCTATAATATGCTTTTTGTTTCCGTTACATTTGATCAATTTACCATTCATTCAGTGTTAGGGTGTTGTAAACCAGAGTGTTTTTTTATTAAAAGTTTCATTTGGAGTTCCGAAATTCACGATTGCTGTGTTTTTTCACAGGACATGTCAAAGTGCGTTACACAGGGCATATTTATCGTAAACAGTTGTAGTTAACTCCAGATGTTCAAAATAAAAAATCTAAACTGAGAATTATATACAACGTGGAACCGGTCAAATAAATGTACTGGTTCAAATTACTGCACAATATCAAAAGAACAAGACAAAATTATTAGTATAAATACCAGAGTAACAATATTTTCATAGGTAAGCAAAACTAATTATATAGAAATAATAACCATTCTACAAGATATAACGAAAGTTTATGTATTTCTAGACAAATATCAAATGTGTCTGCACCATCACAACTATTTCTAATCTATTTGACCTAACTCGCTGCCTTCTCGCACCACGGATGTTGTTTACGAAATTGAGAGGACGAGAAGCAAGCATCCGGAGCTTTAACCGGGTTGATGGATACGCAGGACCCATATAGGGTAGATGGAAAACATTGATTACAAACCAATGGGATACTAAGGGAACAAATGGCTTATGAACCAATCGTTGACCAACGACTACCATGGGACTGTATCTCCTGACGTTGCTCCACTGCTTTGTGGATCACACCTTTAGGTCGAAGGCTTCGGGTATGGCCCTATAAAAAAACCATTTGCTTTCGTTTGGGCACCCGAGCAGTATCCCAGCCCACACACAAATCAAGTGACTTGTGTGGCACATATCTATTTGGTTCCTCCTTGTACCAATGTTTACGTGTTGAAATAAATAAATTATAAGAGTTGTGATCATCATATAGACCCCATTTAGGCAGTCTACATTTACCTACACTGACTTATGCATTATGATTTGAGTCCTAGGACTAGCAACGTCAGGTTCATGTATAACTATTTTAAAGTATGTTGAATAGAAAACAATACATTATAACATATTAAAATGTTATATTTATTCAAACTTAACTCCACCTGGAGTCCCTCCGGGGGCTTCTGCCGATCCCAAGCCCGGACAATAGAGGAGAATTGGGCATGGGGTTAGCGACCCCATCCCGTAGAAAACTAAATCGCTTAAAAAACGCTGACCAGAAATATATCCAAACTTACTGTCATCGTTTCCAACATCGTATTGAATGATTACAAAAATTACAGTGTTTCACAATGATTCAGTAATTCCAGTGAGAAAAGTAAAAGAAAATTCTAAAAGAGAAAAAAACAAAAAGGAAAATATAAACGCAATACGATCAATTGAAAAAGAATTGAGAGAAACACAAAAAAATGCATTTTTTTCTCATTTTTTCATTTTGTTTACATCATTATATTCAACCAAAAATATCTGTGTATTATAGTGGTGGAAATTTATTTTTCTCAAAAATTCAATAAAAACTAATATTAATAGTCAGAATCATGAGTCAATTGAAACTAAACCATCGCCTCGCGAGATTCGAATTCAGAATTTATCAGTCTCACGTGCGAACGCTTAACCTCAAGACCACTCAGCTAGCCGCCATCCAACGGTGTTAATGTCTAACTTCAACTAATCCAAGAAATTGAGCGACACATCTATTATTGTCTTCAGTGCAGGATCGTGGATGAGCACTGCCACTGATGAGTCCCACCATATGATGAAACGACCGTCCAGTGATTCCAGATTTTTCATAGTGATCTAGCTTCAATCGACTCATGGTCTGAACTACTGAATTTACTATAATATCCACAAAACCTCTTCTGATACTACAAACTAATGTAACAACTAAATGTTATCCGTTCCCCCCTTAGTGATTAATCACTTTTATTCAATTTTGAAATAATGAAACTGATTTGTATTTATTTCAAGGTTTGAATATGCTTAATAAATGTTATCTTAGTAACCACTATTATCTTGTATCCATTAACGAAACTGAAAATGAATGGATATGAAATCTTAATAGAAAATAACACTTGAGTATTGATGTTTTGATAGATCTAAAGTAAACTCTATTTATGAATGATTATTGACTGTTCTAATACAATACAACTAATGAGATACCAAATGCATCGGACCTTTAACACATAATAACACTTCAGAGTTAATAATACATATGATAATAAGAGAAAAAGAAGATGAGACTTTCAGAATATTTCCATGGTACATAGAAAAATCGAACAACTTTATAATTACAATAACATGAAATGATCTTGGAATACAAACTAAGAGTAATAACAATCAATCAGATAACAGAAAAGATCATTGTGGAAATGTGTATTTGAAAAATATCATTGTAGGATTACCCAAGACAGAGTTAAATGGAGAGTGCTGATAGGCGGCCCATGCTCCTCCACGAGAGGTAACAGGCGTAAGTAAGTAATATATACGACTGTACAGCATCAAGAATGAAATTTATGAAATCAAATATATTTTCATAGAAATAAACCTTCTTTATTCACTAAAAATAGAATTAATGATACCGATGATGGTAGATAGTCATTATATTTCCTGATTACTGACTGATTGTGATCATCTTGTCTACTTTGAAACTATTTAATGAACAATAAATTCATATCATGTCACACTAGAATTTTAAAAAGTTACATTTAACAAGATTAACTGAAGTATAATTCAATATTGGTTAACAATAGAATACAGGACTCTCATCGTTTCGTCCGATTTTGGACTCGTCAGCTGGATATACCTGAACCTCAGTGTTGATATACACACTGTGATTCGAACCAATTACCCATTGCATCAAATGATTGGCACGTTATTCACATTGCAATGATAATAACAAAATGGAAATATTCACACTAACTTAGTAAACAATTAAAATAGAATTGTGCGAACCGGAAATCAGGAGTACACTGGCATAAATCATATCGAAATAAATTTTGTTGTAAGATACTCTAAGTTAGTTGGACAGAAAGTCCCGTTTCACACAGAGTTTGTTCTGTTTAGCATAAATCAGCTAGGTATGTATACAATTTTGGAGTAATTTATGCTCCCTATGCGGGATTCGAACCTGATATCATTGTAAGTGACATCATCAATTTTTATCCAGTTAATAGAAGCTGACGGACATTATAAACTGGATAACACGATATTGATAAAAGAATATTCGAAGAATAAAAGTAGATAATTTATGAACACAAGATATATGGTAAAGTATTATTCACAAATCTCATCCAAGTAATTTGTAACCACAAACGTGGCTGAGATAGGCAATCATTAACTTCGGGAACTGATGCCACTCTTTGGATTGATCACCCTCAGATGTCTCCTAACACCCTACTAAATTAGCAAACGTCACATGTTGAAGTAAATGATGGTTGACGTCATGTAACCGATGTACAAATGTTGAGCTGTAAGTATAAGTCTATGGAATATGCTGAGCATTTTTGAAATGCTGACCCGATCTAAGTTAGACCACTATTGAGAACCTAGAAACATTGAACAGACGTTTCGTCTCAGTATGAGACTCTTCAACAGTGTACATCTATGACGATGCACGCGGGAATTGAACCTAGGACCTTCGATCTCGCACGAATGCTTAACCTCCAGATCACTGAGTCATCATCCAACGACGTCAACATTCAATCAGTTTACAATATTGCTTAACAATCTTCTATTCTCTTCAGTTGGTCGACATCGCCGTCCAATGCTTCCAGGTTTTCAACGAAGGTCTAACATTGGTCTGTCCAGGATGTCAATAGGATGTAGATTTATTTATTCGAATTCCAACCATTCTTTTGGTGTATGACAGTCAGTGATACTAGCCATCTGACCAACTCAAATTAGGTGACACTGAAATTCAAATCTACGAATTAATGATCGAAAGAAGAATACTTTAACCATTAAACCAATGGTTAATTTATCAGGTTGCATTATATCAACGGACAAGATCGAAACTATAAATGACATAATGGCAAATGATAGATTATTATTATTATTATTATATAATGATTGTTTGAGCTCACAAAAGTATTCATTTTTTCGCGATCCAACCATAATATCCTGTTTATACAATAAAAACAAACTTTTAATTTAAGTATAATGATAGGTTTGGAATACCTCAGGGGGTTACTGCCGGTCCCGAGCCCGGATAAAGGAGGAGGGTTGGGCATAGGGTAAGCGACCTCATCCCGTCGAAAACTAACTCGCTAAAAAAACGCTAATCAGAAATATTTATTCAACACAAAGTTTTATACGCGGTACAACTCACAATAGTCAGTATTAACATATCGACTAGTACTATTATTGTTATTACCGTTATTATTATTATTATTATTATTATTATTATTATTATTAGTAGTAGTAGTAGTAGTAGTAGTAGTAGTAGTAATGGTAGTAGTATCCAAGTGTTTGTTCTGTATCCAATAGTACACATGTCAAGATTATATATATATATATATATATATATATATATATAGAGAGAGAGAGAGAGAGAGAGAGGGGGGTAGCGGAAAATTTCGATTTCTCCTTGTCATGAAAAAAACACAACGAAATTCATGTGAAGAAAAAAAACCCAACATAATGCAGTAAACTGACATTGACAACAAAAAGTGATGAATGAGAAACAAAGAAGAGAAAAACAGACAAACAAAATACCAGCATGTTGGTGTTACATACCTCAACTCTAACACACTTTACTCATATGGGTCTGCGTGGAGGTGTGTGTGAGAGTGTGTATGTGTGTGTAAAGACGGAGTTACTAAAAGAAAAAATCTCGATTTCATAAATTAAATAGAAATGAATAAATAAATCAAGACATAGTAAAAAGTGAAAAAAATGTATGGATTATGATAAACAGTAGGATATCAGATTTATATGATGATTTTCTTCAGGATTCTTCAATTCAAATGTTCTTGTATCTTAATATTATATTAGTTAAATCGAGGTAATATATTAAGAGTCAATTTTTACAATTGATTGATCATTAAGTAGTAACTAATGTTATATATGTCAAGACACTTTTATCGTTGATCATATTGTAATGCGACCATTAGTTTAAGTGACTTGAAATTGATCAACACTAAGAATACCTTGATATATATATATGACTTTGATCAATGTTGAGTAATCAATCAACTATCAATACATTTCAGTTCTATAGGAGCACAGTCGTTACTAGAATCACTCAGTGATGAGACAAAATCAGATCTGCCAGGAGTATTGACTCCATCAAGATTACTGATGCACTCTTCTGATGATTGCTATACATCATTAAACCTAAAACAACTAGAATCCCCCTGTCGTCTACCTTCAATCACCAACGTATATGATTTACATTTGTCAACAAAGGCTGGTCAAAATCCAATCCAGAATATCAACAGTTGTGTTGATTCAAACCATTACGGGTTTAAAACTGTGATCCTTAGAGAAAAACCTATTGTATTGTTCGAGTATTTTTCAATACACTAAAAGCTCAAATCTGAATTTTTTTCTATCAACTTATAATTATAATGCAATAATGGTTTCCACTTTATAGTTATCATACGGCTAAAGAAATTCAAGCCATTGAATAAGTGAATTTAGTTGTAGCCGACGTTAGGCCTAGCACAATTTTACATTCTTAAAAGTTTTCACATCTCATATCAGCACAATAAAAGAGCGTCTTAATAAGGCAAGACGTGGAAGAGAGGGGTTAACAATAATATATATATCGGTTGAAGGTCAAATGGAATATAGTTAAACTCATAACCTAACCTTAGTCTCAGACTTTCATGAGACTCCTTAAGAGTGCCATGGGTCGAACCCGGCATTATCAGATCTCGTGACCAACTTACTTAACAATTACTCACCGACAACTGGAAAGTAGTTATCAAATATCTAGAATGGATTGCAGTTAGAAAGGCAAACGATTGAGTACTGACTGAGTAGTCTAAAGGTTAAGCCATTGTCTTCAGTTAGTTACTATCTCACAGTGGTCTAGACGTTGTGTTCGCGCTCAAGACTGACAGGTCCTGGGTTCGAATCTTAGGGGGCGGGATTGTGGATGCGCACTTCCAACGAAGAGCCCCACAATAGAACGAAACGGTTGTCTAATGCTTCCAGGTTTTCCATGGTGATTTGGCTTCAATTAACTCATGATCTCAACTATTGAAATTACTAAAATCTCCACAAAACCCCTTCTGATACATTTTTTTACTCC